TGGGAGAGGATCTCTGTTAACACGCGCTAGGAAGACCCGAATGTCAGTCTCCATAAGGCAGCTAGGGTGCTTGCGAAACTTTTTTATGCGCAGTGTGCACCTGTGTTGCCCCACCTGGTGAATGCCCTTCGGCACCACCACTGTCGAAGCGCATACGGTGCGACGACCTTCGGTGTTGGGATCAGCTGGCGTGGCAGACCCGCACACAAACCGGACAGAGTTGGTGTCCACCGACCGAGTCAGGTGAGTCCGGACCCTGGCCTCCGAGTCGCTTGAAGGGACGTCGGCCTGAACAATGTTCAGACCCGACTTGCGGCGGCTGACGTGACGTGGCACTTTGTTACCCACGTCGTGATGTCTCGTTGACGACATCAGAGGCACTCGAGACCTCGTGTGGCACTGTGTTACCCACACAGGAAGCATGGTAAATGCCTTCCTCTTCAGTTATCGTCTGGGCGACTGCGTGTGACACTGTGTTACCCATACAGGAGGCGCATTCAGCGCCTTCCTCTTCAGTTAAGGTCTGGGCGACCGTGTGTGGGTCCGTGTTAACCACACAGGAAGCGCATTCAGTGCTTTCCGCTTCAGATAAGGTCTGGGCGGCCGTGTGCTTCTAAGCTACCCACCTGGCTAGTGCTTAAAGGCATAACCACTTTCGAAGCCCGTACGGCGCGACGGCCTTCGGCGTTGGACGCTGCTAGTGTAGCAGGTCCACACGCCGGGCAAAAGACCCATGCCCGTAGCATTGCCGCAGCGGTGCATGATCTTGCTGTACGCAGAGCTGTCAGCGCGCTGACAGCTCCGTGACGCTTCTGCGTCCTGGTGGTCTGTATCAGACGCCTAAGTCATGACAGAGGTGGGAACATGACTTACCAATGCTCCGCCATAGACCTGGACTGGTAGGCCCTTCTCAGCCTTGCCACACCAAAGTCCGGGCTGTGCCTTATGCTCACATAAGGCACAGCCATGTTGTTCATGGCGAGAACTGCGAGCGACACCGCGGTGCACGAGTTCATCGAGCCGAAACGCTCAGGTCCGTTGAGGACAATTGGTACTTCCTTCATCGTACCAAAGGCTAGTCCACCAAGGACCAGCCACGACCACCACGCTGACATAGAGTGCTGTCGGGTGTCGCTATGCCAAGCGGCGTCCCGGCGACGTATCAACGCCCTAGAACTCATCAAACGTTCAAGGGGTACCGTACCCTTGTACACCGAGTGTACTACCAGCAGCCCATCACTGCCCTTCACCGGTTTGAGATACCCACGTCTCTCTGAGCTAAGCCCCGTGGTGCGCACAACCTGCCCACCCATCACGAAGGCTTAGCACGCTTCAGTAGGTCATACCGCCTCTACTGGTGGCCGTGGAGTCTTCGTCCACCTGGCCGTGGCCTTCGCCACCGGACCTGGAGTCCACGGGCTGTCTACTTCCCGGGGACTGGCGAGGGACACACACGCTGGTAGTGTCCATGTCCGCCGCATCCGTAGCAGCGGACCAAGCTCTCGGCTGAGCTTTAGTCCATGGGTTCGGGCTCGCCGTACGCGCCGGTATCAACGGGCTGCGTGACAGCAGGAGCAACAGCGTCATTGCTGTGATGCTCCGCCTCCCGAGGAACGCCATTCTCATCGTGGCGATGTTCCTCTTCCCGAGGAGTACCAGCCTGTTTGTGATGTACTCTTCGTGGAGGCGATTCGAATCGCCTCCTCCATAGCTGTCGCTTGCACCCGGAATAGCTGGGTGCGAGCAGGACCGACCTTCAGGCCGTCCATGAAGACTGCTGTCTTGACGTCTTTCAGGCAGAGGATTCCCTGCCAGAGATGCCACCAACGTGCGCATCTCTTGCGCGTACACCTGCAGCTCACGTTTACCTTTGCTTGCACGCGAGAAAGCGTGAGCGCTAAGCGGAGCTCGTTTGTTCGTCGGTAGGGAATGGCGGGCCCGGAAGCTGCTTCAACACAGGCTGAGGACCAGGATGCCAAGCAATCCAAGGAGGTGACGGTCTCCCCTGGGTGGTATGACGCAGGGCTTTGGCACGTTCCACCAAAGGTTGGGAACAGGGGCA